GGTACAGGGCAGCCCCGGCCACTGCAGGGCCAGGGACCGACAGGGCTGTCTTCATGCCAGGGCAGGGACAGACCAGCCAGCGCCTTTTTCAGGGGACAACGTGGTGACAGGGTCAGGGGTGGCAGAAAAATGGGTGTAGGGTTAGATACATCCCCCTGTGAGGGTGTAGTTACCACCTACAACACCTTGGCAGTTCAATGGAGAGATGGGTCAACCCAGTGCCAACCCCTGCCCTGCCACCCCTGCAGGGACAGACAGTGGGGACAGCGTGGGAGAGGTACAGTACACATCTGCAAGGGTTTGATCAAGACATCCCTGTGCTGCTGCCAGATCAGCAGCCCTGATCGGCCCCTGTGCCGCTTTGTCTCCTGCTGGCATCGGCCAAGCAGACCAAGCAGCTTCCCCCCTGCCACCCCCCTTCAAAAAACCCCCAAATCTCTATGTACAGCCTCAGTGTGCCATATCAGTATAAAAATATACACATAAACTCTACAGATCCCAGCTCAGTAGATCAAAACACAGCTATAAATCACAGTGCACAGGACGGCATCAGGTCCAGGGAACGATGGGGTCCCCCGAGAGCACGGCACACCACGGGCGCACGCCGGCATGGTGGGGGGCAGGTCATCCACCTGCCTCGTGGGGTCATTTCTGATCCAGCTCGCAGTACAGGTACATAGAAACCGCCATGGCTGCGATCTGTGGGCGGCAAGAGGCAAGTCAGTCCCCTCTAAGCATCCCACCCCAGCTTGGGTTTGGGTCACAGCCCCCAGCGCACACAAGGAGGAATAGCCAGGTGTGCCCAGGGAAGAAAGTTCAGTAGCCACCGTGGGGCAGATGGTGGTCCACGGGGCTGCACCAGCCCCCTGCAAGTCCCTTGGCCACCGAAGCTGGTCCCAGCCGCACCGCTCACCTCCAGGTACAAGGAGGAGGCGGTGGCACAGCGATGCTCAGGCACTCACCTCCAAGGCAGCGATGCCGGCTGCCACGCCACCCACCACACCTGCGTGAGTCTTGATTTCTTCCAAGATCTGATGGAAACAACCCTGCAGGAGGCAACCACACAGGTGAGGACAAGCAAGGGGTAGAGATCCCCCAACCACTGGGGCACAACATCCCCAGAAAGGGAGGTACGGCTCTCCAGCCTAGAGCTGCACGGCCATGGAGAAGGTTTGGGGGCTTCAGGGAGCCACTCTCCTCAGC